TCATAGTATAGTTAGGTATAAAAACGTGAAAAAACGTCACAGTATAGCAAGGCGTAAAATATCATAAAAACTTCATAGTATAGTAAGGTATAAAAACATGAAAAAATGTCATAGTGTACTAAGGTATAAAAACGTGAAAAAATGTCATAGTATAGTAAGTCATAAAAACGTGAAAAAACGTCATTGTATAGTTAGGTATAAAAACGTGAAAAAACGTCATAGTATAGCAAGGCGTAAAATATCATAAAAACTTCATAGTATAGTAAGGTATAAAAACATGAAAAAATGTCATAGTATAGTAAGGCATAAAAACGTGAAAAAACGTCATAGTATAGTAAGGAATAAAAACATGAAAAAACATCATAGCACATTTAGGCATAAAACGTGAAAAAACATCATAGTATAGTAAGTCATAAAAACGTGAACAAACGTCATAGTATAGTAAGGTATAAAAACGTGAAAAAATGTCATAGTATAGTAAGTCATAAAAACGTGAAAAAACGTCATAGTATAGTAAGGCATTAAAACGTGAAAAACGTTATAGTATAATAAGGCATAAAAACGTGAAAAAACGTCATGGTATAGTAAGTCATAAAAACGAGAAAAAACGTCATAGTATAGTAAGGAATAAAAACATGAAAAAATGTCATAGTATAGTAAGGCATTAAAACGTGAAAAAACGTCATAGTATAGTAAGGCATAAAAACATGAAAAAACATCATCGCACATTTAGGCATAAAACGTGAAAAAACATCATAGTATAGTAAGGCATAAAACATGAAAAAATGTCAGGCATAAAAACGTAAAAAAACGTCACAGTATAGTAAGGCATTAAAACGTGAAAAAACGTCATTGTATAGTAAGGCATTAAAACGTGAAAAAACGTCATAGTACAGTAAGTCATAAAAACGTGAAAAAACGTCATGGTATAGTAAGGCATTAAAACGTGAAAAACGTTATAGTATAGTAAGTCATAAAAACGTGAACAAACATCATAGTATAGTTAGGTATAAAAACGTGAAAAAATGTCATAGTATAGCAAGGCGTAAAATATCATAAAAACTTCATAGTATAGTAAGGTATAAAAACATGAAAAAATGTCATAGTATAGTAAGGCATAAAAACGTGAACAAACGTCATAGTATAGTAAGGTATAAAAACGTGAAAAAATGTCATAGTATAGTAAGTCATAGAAACGTGAAAAAACGTCATAGTATAGTAAGGCATAAAAACGTGAAAAAATGTCATAGTATAGTAAGTCATAAAAACGTGAAAAAACGTCATAGTATAGTAAGGCATTAAAACGTGAAAAAACGTCATTGTATAGTAAGGCATAAAAACGTGAAAAAACGTCGTAGTATAGTAAGTCATAAAAACGTGGAAAATCGTCATAGTATAGTAAGGCATTAAAACGTGAAAAAACGTCATTGTATAGTAAGGCATTAAAACGTGAAAAAACGTCATAGTACAGTAAGTCATAAAAACGTGAAAAAACGTCATGGTATAGTAAGGCATTAAAACGTGAAAAAACGTCATAGTATAGTAAGGTATAAAAACATGAAAAAACGTCATAGTATAGTAAGGTATAAAAACATGAAAAAACGTCATAGTATAGTAAGGTATAAAAACATGAAAAAACGTCATAGTATAGTAAGGTATAAAAACATGAAAAAACGTCATAGTATAGTAAGGTATAAAAACATGAAAAAACGTCATAGTATAGTAAGGTATAAAAACATGAAAAAACGTCATAGTATAGTAAGGTATAAAAACATGAAAAAACGTCATAGTATAGTAAGGTATAAAAACATGAAAAAACGTCATAGTATAGTAAGGTATAAAAACATGAAAAAACGTCATAGTATAGTAAGGTATAAAAACATGAAAAAACGTCATAGTATAGTAAGGTATAAAAACATGAAAAAACGTCATAGTATAGTAAGGTATAAAAACATGAAAAAACGTCATAGTATAGTAAGGTATAAAAACATGAAAAAACGTCATAGTATAGTAAGGTATAAAAACATGAAAAAACGTCATAGTATAGTAAGGTATAAAAACATGAAAAAACGTCATAGTATAGTAAGGTATAAAAACATGAAAAAACGTCATAGTATAGTAAGGTATAAAAACATGAAAAAACGTCATAGTATAGTAAGGTATAAAAACATGAAAAAACGTCATAGTATAGTAAGGTATAAAAACATGAAAAAACGTCATAGTATAGCAAGGCGTAAAATATTATAAAAACTTCATAGTATAGTAAGGTATAAAAACATGAAAAAATGTCATAGTATAGTAAGGCATTAAAACGTGAAAAACGTTATAGTATAATAAGGCATAAAAACGTGAAAAAACGTCATGGTATGGTAAGTCATAAAAACGTGAAAAAACGTCATAGTATAGTAAGGTATAAAAACATGAAAAAACGTCACAGTATAGCAAGGCGTAAAA